CAAGGTTTTTTTTAAATCGAAATGTTAGAAATCTTTCAGCAAATCGAGGCCCAACAAAGTTGACAAAATTTTAACTAAGTGTTTTAATAGTTAATAGTTATCAACTAATGAGAAATATATATTCGAGCACCATAAATTTTCGCGATCGTATTCTTATCGCCAATATCGCAAACATTTATGGTGCGCGAAAATAAAGGGCTTTACAGGGCGTGATCTACAAATTATCCCCAACGACAGAAACGGGTCAAACACGTTTACTATTGTTATATGACAAGCTCCCAAACGCGTATGTGAAATGCCGTTTGGAAGCTTGTCGTTCGAGCCGTTTATTCCGTTTGGAAGTTAACTCCTCCCCTTTTCATATGGATGACTGCTCGTGAATGGCAAAATGTTAAACGCGTTCAGCGAAATTTGATCGTGATTCAAACAACTTCAAAACTTGTTCAGTGTCCCTATCGTACCTAGGCCTAGGCTATGTAGGCCTAGGCCTATATTTATAATAGTAGTAGCCCGGTAGTAAAATGCTAGCCTACGCTAGGTGACAGTTCACGAAGAAATGTTTATAATAAAGGCCTAAATTTAATTATTTTTCTTGTTGGGGAAACCCCAATGTTTCTTGTATTTTAGTAGGTTAGGCCCCACCGTTACTTGTAGGGCTGTTTTTTTTTTTTTTATAGAAGAGAAAGCAATCGCCAGCAGCGCATTTACATTCCTGAAGGCGGCGTTCAAAGAATCCGATCAGACACTAGAGCGTCTACATTCCTGAGTTGGCGGAATGCTACGGCATTGTGTTTTACTGTGTAAGCTATATGAATTTATATATATTATTATATATATATATATATATATTTATTATATATATATATATTTATTAAATTGTGAGATGTTCGAATTGACCTATCAAAACAAGTACCTTTTGCCCAACTTTCTAATTCTCACGTGCCTGCACAGCCCGCACAATACAGCATGTAAACACTGACTTGGATCAGCCGCAGTTGAAGAAGTTCGTTGTGGCGATCACGTGATGCCACGTGATATCGCACGTAGAACAACGTATGCTACGGCATTGTGTTTTAATACATGTTTGTATTATTATATATATTATTATGTTTTAAAAATGGTTAAACCATGGCACATGTTTATATTGCTGAACAAGGCAGTCGGCTATTCCCTTCTTGTGGAGCAGCAGCGCCGTTTACATTCCTGAAGGCGGCGTTCAAAGAATCAGATCAGACACTAGAGCGTCTACATTCCTGAGTTGGCGGCGTTTAAAGCGAAGACTACTGTATGTGATTGACCTTGTGTCTGCTTCTCTCATGCTTCTCCTGATCGTGGGAACCTACCTGTGTGGGAACGTTTCTCACTGAATTCACAGTTACTAGGCAATTTGCAGTAATGCAAACTGGTGGTATATGCCTATTTCAAACAGTTTATTTCCGTTCATGACAAAGTAAGAATATCGATACGAAACAAAGTGAATTGATTTTATTTCTGAACGAGACCGGTAGCGGCAGGATTTGGCAGACGGAGATACGATGTCTCCGACAAAAAATCACGAGGCATATATTAAAACAGTGTAAATATTTATTTCATTTCCTTCAACTTAACTTATATACCGGGATGGTGTCCGGCGGGGGATAGTTTTTACTATCATAGTTTAACTTTTATCTATCAGAATCTAGCCCCGAATCCTAGACTCATGTATTTAACCGAATCATAGACTCATGTATTTAAAGCGGCCTGTAGCATGTGTATACAGCATATATTTGTATTTTTTGTCGATGGATAAATAAATGTCCGAATATAAGAATTGAATACTCTTTTCTGTACACTATATGTTTGTTTTGGTCAGTTAAGAATTATCACCTAATTAGGCCTATTAATGAAATACAACGGTACACGAACATTCACTTGTATGTTTTATTTATATTTTGACATTAACATAGGCCTTAAACACTCAATATTATTTTTATTTAACATAAGCCAATAAACAGCTTCCACACATAAAATAACAGTAGGCCTAACCAATAAAAATATATCAAATACAAAACAAGATTTATGCAAGATTAAAAAAACTATACAGAATTCTCCGCCCGGCAAGCAGACAAGGCCATACTTTAAACTGGCTTCCAGGCACTCCATCGAACGTCCTATTGTTAGCATCTCAACTGACCCACTTCTGTCAGAGCGGCGCTCAAAGCGAATTTCTGTAGACCAAGGAGGAAAGTTCTTTCCTCCATGTATAGATCAACACCGGCCACACGTGATGTTGCGTACTCTGTTGGACTGATCACATCCACACACACGAGGCACCCAATATTAATTGTACAGTAGTTGCATAGGCCTAGCTGCTGTATATAATATATATTGATGCCTACGTTTAATAATAGAGAAAATAGATGTTCTATTTTCTCTATAGTTTATTGAATGATGTTTGGCGAATACTGGCGTCCATTTGTGTTCCCATGTGATATGTGTGCAGGTAGTTCAACCGGGGCCTGGTCTAACGACACAGACGCGTTTGTCGCCCAAAACAATAGAAACAATGGCAAACGCGTTCAACAGCACAAACCCGTTTAGACGCGTCTGGGACATATTTCGGCTAGCTTATTAATATTCATGAGGCACGATAATTAGACGATCGCTTTCCCAGACGCGTTTGTAATACATGGTTTTCCCAGACGCGCTTCTGTCGTTGGGGATAATTTGTAGATCGCGCCGTAGACCTATATAGAATTATCCTCTTATTTTAAAATAGTAAATTCTAAATAGCATAATTTTAAGATTAATTAGTATATTTAATTGAATATTAGTAAAAACAAAATATTATATTATGTTAATAATTATATAGTTGGTGTCGAAAGAATGCATAATATTTTCTTATTAATCATCGGCATAAGGTGCAGCAGGTATGTCGATTCGAGCAATGGCCATCTTTTGCAATTTCCTCTGGTCCACCTATTCAAATACAACAAAGTTATTGCTTAACGAATAATACAAAGAATTTTATAATACAAAGAAATTATAATTGTAATACATGTTAATAACTACGGTATGTAGTCAAAGAACTTAAGATATAAATATTTACACGTGCACGTAGGCTGAATATGATACCGGTAGTCAATTTAATCTATTGGTAAGGGTGAAGATACATACGTAAAATACATCGTCTAAATTACATACATTTAAATGAGTTCTTTCATTAATAATCCTGAGAGTATAACTTTAATTATTATTAATGTAAATAATCCGGCGGTAGCCACGATGCAGTGTATGGTAAACACGAATACAAGCATGCCTTAGACCTACAAACTTATTTTAATGAAGCTACGCCGACCAAGGTTTGTAATCTATAACATAAGGGGGCTTTATTTATTAATTATTACAGAAGGCGCTATATTACGTGAACAAAAGGATAGTCTCTTCTTCCTCGGTCTCAGTCGCCTCCTGCATAATGTAAACTCATTAGCTCTCATGAATATTTATAATAAAATAAAACTTCTCGGCAAACTGCAAATTTTCTATAGGCAAGTGCGGTGCCAGCGGGTCTAGCCTAGATTATTATTTTGTTCCTTAAAAGATTCGCCGTGTAGATAATACCATTGATGATAAAGATTTGGATGTGAAAGAGCAAATGAGTAAAAAAAGGCCTAGGTGACGTCAATGTAAGCCTAGTAGTATAATTCATAGTTAGAGGTGGTGCATGCCAAACCTAGAAAAGCCTACGGTACGAGAAAGATACCACATCTAGGCCTAATTAATAAGCTGGCCTAGATTTGTTGTTGGACATCAAGACGCAGATTATGCACGCACAAGCAGGTTAACTTATTATATATCACATACAATAATAATACTAATTAGGGCCTAGGCCTATGACATAGGCCTTGGCACAATCATTTATTTCTAGGCTTAAATTATGCATTTATTATTAGTATTATTATTATTATTATTATTATTATTATTATTATTATTGTTATTAAAATGAGGCTCAGAATTATTAAAGTTTCAAATAAAAAAAATGTAAATACATTAAAATTATAAATTTCAGAAAATAAAAATTTTAAACAGACCCTAGATAGTGTGTATTCCACTAAATAAGAATTTGTTAGCAACCAAATAATCCAAATATTATTGTTGCAACATGTGCTGCAGCCCATGGCACAGTTTCATTACACTTGTTTTTAATTTATAAAATGTATGTCAATCGAATACTGTGATAATGTGTCTGTGTGGTAGCCTACATACATTAAAATAAATGAAACAAAAAAATAGCGAAAAGCTATAAGGAGGAAAGGATTAACAAAACGTATCAACTCACAAACTTGGCAATACCATCACTATCCAGTACTTGTTTAGAGGAAAACACACTCTCTAGGGTCTGTTAAAATTTGTATAATTTTTCTTAAGTTAATAATTAAAACTTTAATAACTGTTTCAGTTGATTATAAACATTCATGGCCGAACTCAGTGTTAGTGTGACGGCTAACGATGGCGTGCATTTCAATACTTGGAAAATGTATTATATATTCTTTAGTGAATAAAAGAAAGAGGCCGCCATCCTATAAAATATTGTATATATTATTTTGCCTCAAGCATTAGATACATAACAATCACCAAAGAGTTCGGTTCTCGGAGGGAACGCGAAAGGGGATAGCGAAAGCTTACCATTTATTAAAACGGGAATGAGAAATTTTCTTGGCGGATTATTCTCAAAATAGATAATGAAAACTCTCTAATTTATTTCCTACACATCGCTCTTTTAAAGGGTCGTTTTAAATATTTTTCTCAGGCATGCTACAGATTGTTAGCATATGATTTATCAACACAATTATGAACAATATTATATCGTCAGGCAAACCAAAAAAATAAAAATATATTTACGAACTCCATAATATGAAATGCATGCAAACCTAACAATAAACACAATTTCGTTACACCATGAGCATAGGTTTTGGTTGGAAGTTGTTACCTTTCTTGATATTCCCAAAGGAAAAGAGTCGAACATCAAAACATATGTCGGTATGTAAGATTTTTGAACCTGAAAAAAAAAATACTTAGCTTTTAGTATATCATGACATGATATAATAATCATTATCTGGACAAACGGTTATAATGATGCTGATGTAAAATGAGAATGATTGTACACTAGCAATATTGAACTTACAAAGAACATTTTCTTAGTTCATAAATACTACCATCTTTAAACAAGCCAGTGAGGTTCAATACCCTGGCATTAAATTTACCAACACTTGAAATCGTCTCCACAATTCACCACCACACAGGTGAACAAGACTGTGAGAGTCCTTTAGCGAACCTTTAATTATTGCCAAAGAATATCACGCTTTACTAAATTTTGAGCTCCAGTGCCGTACCAATACAGATACAGATTCACCTGCCCTAGGGTGCCCCAGCATCCTATAACTTTTTCTTCTTTTTTTTATTTTTAATTTTTTTTTAACCTAATCAAGACATTACCTTGCTGCCTGCCTACCTAAGAAGTGAGCAAAGACTCTAAAAGTGATTTTGTCAAGTAATCTGTATTTTGTTTTTCTTTATTTTTATTTTTTTACTGCTTTACATTAACGTACATGGCATTCTCAGACAGCACCAAGGTTTGAAAGGGTTAGTTCTTTTACGATCTGCTTTTGTGAGGGTCCATGTTTCATATGCATATGCCTAGGTTTAAATGTGGAAGGCCAACGCTTAGACAGGCAGTGTTTTCTGTACTATTTTTAATTTTTTTTATTTGTATTATTTTTTCTGTTTTTTTGTAATACCTCGAGCTTGGTCATAGTTGATCTGGTCATTGACATACGTCTTACAGCTGCATGATTTCTATAATAGTAGTAGCATGATGTGTTCAAAGTATATTTCAATTCGTTTTTTCTGAAGATTAATCATTTTATATAGACCAAATGTTTATTACCTTTTCTACACAGTATTTGTGTATATCCTCTTCATTAACAGTTTCACACCCATGTACTCTGTATGCAATATTAAGAAAACAAGTTATTGCTCATAGAGTGCTGTTTATTGTACAAAATTAGCCTTAGATACTCGAGTAGAAAGGACTCATGTTCATTTTCCTCTCCCATTTGAACTATCAATACAGCGTATATGGTAACATAAAATAAATTTAGAGTTTATTTCCAGCCCACCTACTAGCATAACCATACGTAAAGATGAGCCGATGAACTTCTCGGAGCCAATTGCCAACCATGCTTAAGTTTAAGAAGGTTTAGTTTTGTAGTGCTACATTAATTTGTACATCCCCACTACATTATATAATAACTGTAAAAGCTCAATCACCAAAAGCATTGAGGTTTCAATTATAAAGTGAATTATTGTTTATTGTATGTAATGTGCACGTACTAATAACACATTATAATTAAGGATAAGATAATGTACCGTATACAATACTTACACTACACATGCACATACATCTTCTCCCACTCTGTAGTCAGGTATACCAACAACCTAAATAACGCAAAGCCAAAAAAAAAATGTTTGTATAAATACTAGGAATGTTTAAATACATATGGGTAGCTGCAAACAAATGTTACAATATTTACATGGTTTAAAAATATCATCCAGTGATATAAAATGTTTGTTTTACATGCATATTTATGAAAATTTTCTACTTTATTTACGATAATTAATTTATAGTAATAACCTTACTGTTTTTGCATAAGAAATCAGATTACACGATTTCCGTGTAAAAAATATATGTTAAAAAAGCTGAAGTGGTACAAATCACCAAATTCCATAAAACAAAGTATTTATTGTTTGCTCTAAAATCATTCTAATGGGTAATTTTCAGCAATATTAACGTCAAAGCTTTTATTGTGAATTGCTGTTGAGTGATATTACTGATTTCACGACTATCATATTATTACTACTGAATTCATAATACCTTTGCTTTTTTGACTGATGGATGACTTGAAAGAACAATTTCTACCACCGATGGATGTATATTTTGACCATTCTTGATTATTATATCCTGTAGGTCAAGATATCAAAATATTGAATCAAGAATCATAAAAATATAAATTTATTTCTATGTTTAAAACTCATATTTACTTCATTCATTCTTATTAATTTTCTTTAATAGGCAAATATAGCCTTTGAATATAGTTGTAAAAGTATAAAATAATAACAATCATACAGTCGTAGTTTATAACAATACAGCATATGAATATATTGGATACAGCTATACTAAAAGAAATATTATAAACATGATTAATCAACAAATACATTTTCGTGTAATCACTACTACCACCCCACTTGTCATTATTCGTTGTGGGGAAAAAAACTTATCCATCAGTATGTGTGAATGATAGCAATGTGATTTCAGTAAAAGACAGCTAACAGAGATACCGTCGGATGTTGTGAAAAGCTTATGATGGTCAACCTATTAAGTGTACTAAAGTAACCCGATTGTGAAAATCAACAATATTATATCAATATTTTAAATAGAATAATTGTTTTTGTCATCGATCAAACTCAAAATGAACACTGACTTTTTTTGCTTGTTCACAAAAACACACTAAAATACGTTATAGTATCGATATGGTTATTGCATAATAAAGTCTCGGATATAGCTTCACGAAATAAGATATTAGAAATGTTTGACCAACAAATATATTTTCGTTTAACCACTACTACCACCAGCATCGCCAGCATCTATATTATAATTACACTTATATTTCTGATTGGAAAATAATATTATCAGCAATACCATTGGAATGGAAACGCTTAATTCGTGATTCCAACTTGTTTGAAAGAACTTGCACAACAGGGTAATTACTTCAAATTACCGCTATTGTTTGATTAGCAAACAAAATTATAATTGCATTGTTGCTAGTTTATTCCAAAGAATCATGACGAATACAGTTGAAATGGGAAATGATTTTTGACAACCAAAACATTGTATGGAAGTCAGTCTGGTTACGAAAAGTCAAGTTTATTTTTAAAAAAAAGCTTGAAAACTTTATTTTTAGACTATTGCATTACAAGCTCTCGGCTATTCAAATGGAAACTTTCAGCAAATGATTGTTGTTTATTTTGTAATGTTAAAGAAGACGAATATCGTTTATTATGGGCGTGCATAAACGCCAGATACGTCTGGAAGAATATAAACGAAATTGTCGAACCAGAGTGTGGTTACACGGCCAATTTTCATTATATCTTAGGTACAAAAAACCCTTTCGTAAACCACATAAAGTAGGAAAAGCAAAATCCATAAACGCTTTACTTTCATCTGAAATGTATGTAAGGTCCACATTATTCAGAAGACTGTTATTAGATACATAAAATTGTAATATGTTGTTTGCTACCATTAATTATGTTATTGTTATTGTTGTTGTTACAGTACTGTAAGTTTAATTGAAGTTTGTGAATAAGGACTTATTTAATATTTTATTGGATTATACGAAGTAAAATATAAACACTTTTGAATTTAGAGAAATATCTCAAAATTATTTGGTAATAATAACAAAAAATAAATAAATAAAACAATACCACTTATAAAAATCAAAATATAGTATACTGGATTCACAAAATTTAGATGGTATTTTAATTACTGTCTGCAATGAGGTTTCTTCGAAGATATGTCCTATATAACGAATGAACACAATGGTTGTGTGAAGGATTTTGAAAAAGAAGAAAAATCTATTCACTTTAGTACAAAAAAATGAAAATAAATAAAAAGAAAAATAAAATATTAAAAGTTATAAAATATTCCGGAAGTATAAAATTGTATGGTATTGCAATTGACTATTATAATGACAGTTTATTGGAGGATACACCGTATCTAATGAATGAAAAGAATAAAATTGTGTATAAAGGTCTTGACATAGAACAGTATTGTTATATTTAAAAATATATTTATAAGACTATTATATAAATCAATAAATAAAATATGAAAAAAATAAGAATATTAATAAAAATTATAATAAATAATAAATAATAAAAAGTAAAAAAAAAAAATTAAAAATACAAAATAAAAATTATACACAGTAATAAAAAAAAGGGGGAAAATCGTATTGGGTATACTGTACAAAACATACAAGGTTGATTGAACGTAAAGGAACGTTATAATAACTGATGCTTAAGCAAAAATAATGAATTAGTCAGCAGTAGCGGACACCACATGTTTCGCTTTTAGATACGTGTGCACAGAAATAGTGTTAGTAGGCCAAATTATATTTTTAAGAGCTTTGAAAAGGATGAATGTTTGTATAGGATAATGGCAGATATTACCATTAGGCGTATATTAAGAAAATGTATAACGGAAAGTATAAGGAAATTATTATTATTATTCGAAATTAGTGTTAAAAAATGCATTTTATTTTATTTCAATTTGCATGCGCAACATGTGTGTTATTAAATATTCTTATATGTCAATCTTATATAAACTTCATATGTTTTAACATTGAAAAAATGTATTCTATTGGAAATAAAAGTAGATGGAATCCCTACAAAAGAGAAAAAAAATAAGTACGAATATTTCAAAGGCTAGGCATAATGGAGAAAAATAAACTTAACACACGTCTGGGATTCGAGAACTTACGGTTCTGAAAATCTGTAACAACATAGATTATCAAAGTCGCCGTCTCTCAAGGAAATTGTATTTCCATTTTACCTGCTTAAATGATTGAAAATAAATGACTTTTACCGTTGTGAAATTTCACAATGATGATTTATTGGTCACGTGTCTTGGTTTACAAGCGCGTCGGAACAGCTCCGGCTTGGGCCAGACCACTGTTTCACAATTCTATTACTTTTAAAAATAAATATACACTGATACCTATTGAGCTAGGTTAGTATTAATGTTCAGATTAAATTGTCTTTGTAATGTTGTATATTTTAACAAAAATCATTATTCGCTTATTTTTGCATTGCCTATCATTTCATCATTTTATCCTTAATATTATCATATTATCCTTAGTAATTTATCCTAAGAATTTAAAAATTAAGATTGATTTTGAAAATATACAGATGTATGAATATAGCAATTAACTATTTAGAACATTTTTTAGGTGAGTATGGTATCTAATTATTATCCCTTTTGTTAATATAGGCCTAAAGTTGTCTTGAGTTATAACGGTAAGAAAATGCCCAAGGTCATATACTCTCAAAATCTTTCTATGGGAAACATTACCCACACACGATCGCACACCCCACACCCTTTTCCAAGCGACGACCAAGTCAGCTATCCGGAGATCTGCTGTGAACATTTTGCTAATAATAAAGCACAAAAACATGCTCTGATCAAATTTTGTAGGCCTATATACGGGCAATGTTACTCACATCCTATATCAGGCCACGAAACTTAGATTCAGAACCGGGCCGGATTGTCCAGTTGGAGCGAGCAATTATTTTAATATATATTAATATATTAAAAGTATGATGTAAGTAAAGTATATATTGAACTACGTATGTTTATGAAAATAAAGTAGCTATATGTGTATCTGTATAATAATACGTTAGTAATCTATATTCCACCCCCGCAACCTAGACTCAGACATACCAGAATGGTATTCGACAGGGTACTATGGATTACTTCAGTCCCTAGAAACCTATAGTTAGGCCACTGTCTAAAGGGGCCATATTTCCAGAATTTGCTCACATCAGCTCCAACCATGTTCCACTAACTTTAAATATTGTGTCTACCAATGTACATGATAGGGAATGGTAAAGGCTCTGCGGTTTTAACAGCTGCCATTTCTGGACATGGAGCAATATTTCCAAAATGTTATCACCTCAGTCTCAACCATGGTTGGCCTCAAAGGAGTATAGATTCTACATCTATGCTAACTTTAAATCTTGTGACTGCCTCTTGATTGGAGGGGTGCTAGATCAGTAGGTTGTCAGTATATATTTCCGTGCATTCAGAGATGCCAACAAGTTGGTCACCAAGTGTGGACTGTGGAGAATTATTATCAGACTCCCACTCAATTTTAAAACCTGCTTCCGTGGATATGGGTAGCGTGTCTGCAGGTTAACAACCAAATTGTTAAGCCCACCCATCCACCTGTCTCTTATACACAACTAGATGTGTATAAGAGCTCACTATAATGGCCGGACCACTTGCAAAATGATTCCGACGGCTATGAGAATATAACCAAAGTACCTGAAAAAAAATTCATTTTCCTGGTCGTTAGAACTTACGTATGGATCTAGGCCTAATGATAAATTTCCTTAGTAGTTTTGTGTACTTCGTCTTTCTATGATGAAGAATAATTATAGTCTTCTATAGACGCTAATCGTGACGTTTAACATACCAGAGGGTAAGCGAGCAAATTGAGTAGAACCTCCAGTCATATTAATTGTAATCATTAACATTATCATAATCGTAACTATTATTATCATTATAATTCATAATTATCATCATCATCCATTATTATTTTATTATTATTATTATTATTATTATTGTTATTATTATTATTATTATTATTATTATTATTATTATTATTATTATTATTAATATTATTATTATTATTATTATTATTATTATTATTATTATTATTATTTAAAATTTACCTGAATTCTTCCAACTACTGTTAGATATCCTTCGGAGTTAAGTTTACCGAGATCTCTGAAAATAAAGATATGGGTTTAAGCAGAGATAATTGGCTAAAATTAATCAGAATATATATTTATTTACTTGTCAAAAAGAGATAAATTATTTTTGCTACGGTGTATTCGCACTAAATCCAAATTTTCCGATTTGGAAGGCTTATGAGTAAATTTCCCGCACGGTTTAAATCTTAACGGTACTGGGTTTTGTCTACAGGAGCTTGTGCTTTGTACAGATCATTTCATTAGTTAAAAAAAAAAGCCTTTTCAATGGAGAAAGCGTACCTGTTGTTAGCCATAGTAGCCTAGGTTAATACATTAGTCCGGCTTTATAAAGTTAATTATAAGATTAAATCAGGATTTTCAGATCAGAAGGCATATCAAATCAATCAAAAAATCGAATCAGTGTGTAAGCATAGAGACGATGGCGTTCAGCGCTTCGGAAACGCGGTCCAAACTTCGTTTCGGATCTGATGTGAATGCAGATATACAATAGCTTAATTGTCTGTTTATGTTTTCCTTCATTATCATCCGTAGTGAAGAAACAAACATATCCATCAGTATTTATGAATGATAGCAATGTGCTTTCAGGAGAAGACAGCTGACAGAGATACTGACGGGTGTTGTGAGAAGCTCATGATGGAAACACTATTGAGTGTACTATAGTAAAGCGTTCGATTGTGTTAAACCACTATGGCAAATAATGGTATCTGTAGCAGAGACCTCCAACGTATAACACATCTATATTGGAATCAAGCAGGAGCCGTTAAAACTGACCACGGAATCTCAAAGAAGTTTGGAATAAAGCATGGAGTCACACAAGGCTGCGTACTTTCCCCAAGTATGTTTAACCTTTATGTGGATAAGATCTTTAAAACAGTAGAAGAGTGTAAAGGAATAACAGTAGGAGGAATTAATGTAAACAACCTTAGATATGACACTGTCCTTCTGACTAGAAACGTAATAGACCTACAAAATTTTGTCCCTGCAGTTAATAAAGGGTTGAAGTATGGGATGCTATTCAATGTAACAAAAACCAAGGTCATGGTAATTAGTAGGCATGAGGATAATTATTCCAAGAATAATATTCAACTCAAAGGGAAACAACTCGAACAGGTTCCAAATTTGATTTATCAGTGATGGAAAAAGTGTTAGAGGTGAAAAGAAGAATATAAATCGCTCGCAGAGCTTTTGAGAATCTGACGAAAGTACTAACTTCAGGAGCATTAATTTACAAACAGGAAGTAGACTAACCCTCTGTTATGTATGGTCAACACTATTGTATTGAGTTAACATGGACTCTATCTACAACATGTATGAAACGACTGGAAAGTTCTGAAATGTGGACGTTTTCCACAATCCTCATTATCACAGAATTAGAAATACAGAAGTAAGAAATAAGAAGCACTTCAAAGAACATTATTGGAAGGGAGGATGAAAGGAAGTTGGGGGAGAGGTAAACCAAGGACTATGGGGATAGATAACATAAAGGAATGTTGTGGGATGAAGTATTGACAATGTGTAAGGGCAGCACAGTGTAGAGGTGAATGAAATTCCATGGTAGCTAACCTGCTTCGAGCAGAGGACACCGATAACGACAGCTAACAGGCAACACTACCAAAGAACCCGATTTTTAGGATCATCAATACATCAAAAACATGTTGCTAAAAACGCACAAAAATACGATAATATAAATATGGTAATTGCATGTACCGTTTTATCAATTAAAACTAGTAGAAAAAATCATGGGACGAATTTGGAATTGGACACGATTAATTTAAATGAAACAAGGTTTCGATTGGGAAGATTTTAGGCCTGGCATGTGTCAGTTCCGAAATGATAGTTGTATCTACAATGCAGATACGTATTGTTGCTGTTTTTGTTTTTTTTTTCTTTGTGTTAAACACGCCGGTCCCTCTAGCTTGGGCCTTAATAGGAGTATAATCGGTCGAGTATTTTCAATAACTCTCGCATGAGACTTTAGCCGGGCACTGCACTACGTCGTACGACGAGTATAACTCTGCTGCCTGTGATCGTTGCTGGAAAACGCGAAGTCGTCTGATGTTTGTTGGTTGCAGTCTTATTATGATAAAAACAATACGTTGCGCGCGCCATGGCGTTGCATTCTTCATATAATAATGAGCTTTCAATTAAACTACGACGGTAGAACGTAGAACGTAATGACGTCACTAATATTCATCTGCGCATGCGAAAACGTTAGGTTCGTAGAACGCCCGGTAGGACGGCCATGCATGAGTGATTCCGTTCTCGCGTAGTGTGGTGGAACAAATTGAAAGCTTCCTAATCGACCTTCCTAAACGACCGGAAGTCAGAGTGTCTGGCTTTAAAAGGATTGCAGTGGGTTCCCGGCCAGGGGCCAAGGCAATTTTTAAAATTGCAAATTTGTAATAATGACATAAATAAATAAAAAAAATAAACATATATAAGGGTAGTTATCTGGAATTTTTGTAATGTATTCGTCTTGGAGGGTAATAAGAAAACACATTTTTTCTGCTAGTTAAGTATTATTTTATGATATACTTCACTAATATCGTCACCGTTTTCACGAAGGACACAAACTTCACTTTAGACAAAAACAACGTTTTGAGAAAAACACGTTTTAACTGGACGACTTCACAAATCCATAAATTTCACTATTAAGATATCAAAATATATTTTACATAATATTATTAAAGATAAAGCATTAAGCAATTCAAATGTTCAATTTATTTTTCTTTTCTTAACTTTAATTAACCTGTTAATTAGTTTGAAAAGTCTGTGTCTGTTCGTGGAAACGTTAAGAATTTTCTCAGCATAGGTTGTGTACAGGTACAGCGAAGTTTGTGTCTCGTGAAAACGAAAATCTCATTTTACGCGCTGTACGCTCTCCGTAAGTAGTGTACCGTTATGCCTATGGAATTTAGGGAATTTAATATTTTTTTAACTAGCCCTACCCAAAACAGACCTCATGTACCAGATCACAACGTTAATAACACCACACGCGCATCTTCTGATAACCCATGAAAGTTTTGTCTCTTCGTGAAAACGAAAAATCCATTTTCTCTTTTGTGCGCAATGGTTAATGAGCTTAATTAGTGTAGTTGCACTCTTAACAATTAGGTGAAAAGGTAAAGTTCGATGTACATAACCAAAATTTTAAAAAAAATGAAAAGATATGATTTTTGAAGTTTGTGTCTTTTCGCGGTGTCGGTGACGATATAGAAAAACACGCAAAAAATTATTATTGTGAATATTAGGATTTTAAATTTGAATAATCGTTACTATAATAGTATTACAGTTACATATCAAATTATAGAGAACATTGTCTCGAAAAATATGCTTACCCTGTCTGGAACCAACCATCTTTGGTTACTACCTCATTTGTTTTCTTTACATCATCATAGTAGCCTTTGAAAGCAAATGGACTGCGGACCCAAATTTCTCCTGTTTTACCAACTTCTAAAGTAATCCCACTTTCATTAACGATTTGAACCTGAACCATAGTTAATGAATTTGAATAAGTACATTAATTTACTAAGACAATAACAATGTGTTTACATAATCATGTCATTCAGTAATAGCGAACATTGTATATTATTTTAGCAATGTAGTAATACTTATAATAATAATTCTGGATTTATTAGCGCCTCACATTGTTTGTCACAACCTCGAGGCACTTATATGGTAATGTTGGATTGTGCGTAGTAGCAGTAGCTACATTAACAGCAGTAGCAGTAGCAGAAAAAGCAGCAGTAGTAGTAGAAGTAGAATTAATTGTGGAAGCAGCAGTATTATTAGTAGTAGCACAGCAGTAGCAGTAGCAGCAGTAGCAGTAGTAGTAGTAGTAGCAGCAGCAGTAGTAGTAGTAACATCAGCAGTATAGCAGAACAGTCAGCAATCTCGTTCTAAATTTTCATTAGGCCTATTTAGACTATACATAATAGTGATGCAAATGTTGTAAAACATTTTAAAGGTTGCCTACGGTATGGGTAATAATAAGGTTTGATTAGTTCTACCTCGACGTGCGGAAACGGTTTACCAACTGTTGTATAAGTATCTGGCTTGTCGTCTACTCGTAAACAGCATACAGAATTTACTTCGGTATGTCCGTAATCAATCTATAAAAAAAGAGGAAATTAACTGGTTATGTCTCAATTAAATATATAATCAGATAGAAGCGAACAATTACTATACGCAATGTCGACACAAGATAAAGAGCTTTGGATGAAGGTGTTAAGAATTGATTGCTGAGGGGATATTTTTGTCGGTTAAAATCCTTACCAGCGCACAAATGCCAAGTGTTTTCTTCAAGTGAGTGACAACAGCCGCAGGAATAAGTGACCCTCCGCAAAATCCTTTGAGACGTAAAACAAAACATGATTCTGTATTCATTTTATACAAAGAGTATGATAGCACAATACGTTTTTTCTAGATTTGTATTAAAACCATTTTACAGGGTTCCTTTATTCGTGCCAATTAGCATAAAAATTCCACTTGTTGTTTTATGTAATCCAAGCAAGTTATCACATTCCGTTTTTTTTTTTGTTTTTTTTTTATTCCAAAAAAAATTATTATGGTATTTATAATGGAAGTTTTTGTGTATTTTTTATGTTATTTGATGTTTTTCGTCCAGGGCGTTTTCCCTCGGTTTCGACTTCGAGTCTATTGAACCTATTATTTTGCATCTGCTTCTTTTTGCGATGTTTTTTTTTTGTGAGTCACAATAAACTTTATTAAAACTAAGGCAGACCAGTACATTTTGAGGTATGGATATATTGTTATGATTGTCTTCAAGCAACAATCAACCTCGTATTTTGTTTTCTTGTAACTATATATTTCATTTGTTACTACATCATTTATAACTGTATTTGCATAAATGATAGCTATATAGTAGGGGTAAAAGGATATGCGTTGTTTAGAGGGGAAACAGAACATTTTTTTCTAGTAGAGATCAGTGTTTCTACAGACGCCTTTTACGATCATTTGAAGAACGCATTCTAGTTCGTGGTAGTTATTTTTGAGATAGGATTGTGTTTCGAAAGAAACTCCGGCAATCGGACCTCTCCCTGTTCTAAAATATTTGCTAATAGTAGCTATAGCATTAGTATAGACAGATCATTACTTTAATGTAATGTCTACGCACCAAAATTAATGTATATGTTTACCTGCTTTTAACGACGATAAATCATACTTTTCGTTAATAGGGCTGTAGGCCAGATCAATTATACCATTTATCATTAACATGAAAGAGGTACACCTAAAACAAATAAAAAAGCAAAGAAAATGAAGCTGTTAAAAAATTATATAAACACAAAATAGTACACACACATCAATAACTGTATTCAAAGATGTCACTCATCTAGCAGGACTGGAGAAAGTAAAATCTAGTTGACGTCGTTCGGACATTTGAGTCTCTGTTGAATAGTCATTGCATAAGCTGTCACCAACAAACATAGTGCTTTATTATTAGTTCAAGCTATTGTCCAGGTTCTGGTTGGGAAATCCGACCTCATACGGTTTTCTACCTTGTTAAAAATTTAATAGTTTTTACGTATACACTTGTAGGCCTATCTAACAGTAAATTTGTCAATCTCCGCTTTTGAATATACAATTAAGTATTAATACAATGTAAGATTTATAGGCCTAAGATAATACATATTAAAGATTATCTAATAATAAGACAGACAAAACTAATATTAATTATGATGCACAATAACATATTTTTATATCACGGTAATCCCAAGCTAAATCATGGTTGTCATGGTGGTTAATGAATATCTGTAAATAGTTATTGAGTTCAAGTAGGCCTATATATATATATATATATATATATATATATATATATATAAACATTGGCAAGGTTTTTATTTGTGCGGATTAATGATTCGTGGATATTAAGTCTACTTCTAAATGTGTGCACCGGTGTTTCTCCAATGTATGTATCGTGATCACATGCGTTACATATTATAACATAGATAACGTTAGACGAGTTGCGGGAAAGAGGAGGGTGAATTTGTGATTGGTGATCATAGAAGGTGGGTTGTCTTACAAGTGTTGTATATATTTGTTAAGTTTAAGATGGGCAAAGTCGTTTTAATGGTGCTGGTGTCGATCTTAGTGGAAGGGTGAAATTCAAAAAGTGAGGGGGTGGGTTCGCATGCGGGAAGTCAGAGCGGGAATGTAATGAAGTTTTGTGTATTTGGGACCTAATGAGATCGATGGGATAACCAGCTTTCAGAAGGAAACATAATAAATTACAAATATGATGTTCATAGTCTATTTAGTCGGAACACAAATTGCATGCCTTTCGGTAGGTTTGGTTTAAAGGGACGTAGTGATTTGGTTATTGTTAAGAGATAAAGGGCAGGGATACATGAGCTTGGTATAATGAAAAAAGGTTATATGAGGGTGAAACGAATTGGCATGGGCTACAACGAACTTAAGTGTATCGGCAAAATGCGGCCATATGATAATAATGGTAACACAGTGGTTTGAGATGAAACGGTGAAAAAAAAAACACCTTGTACAATGCATTTTTGGAATTACATATTCTTTACCAAACATTGATTAAAATAAATAATTACCTTTCAATTTGAACAGCCTGAACAAATTTCTCAAAAGAGTACATCGGTGATGGATACACAGATGTCGATCCTAATACTAGGGGACCAACATGACCAAAAAGAAAACTTGGAGCGTACGCTGTGTTGCCCGCACAAGCTAATATGTTGACCTTAAATAGAATAAACATAACAAACGTTAAACAGATTTAAATTCGTTACCGACGAATTTAAGGTGATATGCAAAATCGGATTGTTTTCCATAGCGAGAAAATGTTTAAGTGCTTAAGGTGACCTGAAACATGCTTTAAATTATTTAAAAAATAATGTTGAGAGGAGAGGATTTAAACCATTACCGACGCTCGTGCAGACGGTACGGTAATGGCACACGAAGTTGACCCTTGATATGCAGTCGGCTCGTTTTACTGTTGGAAACCAGTCTTCTGTCCTCTGACAGGTGTCGATATATAATAATCATAGAATTTATATAAATATATTTAAAAAAAAAGAAAAAAAGAAAATTAGGTGGTTAGAAAAAAAAAACTATATCGTTTTAACAATGATGACCTCATCAAAATAAAATTTAAAAAAAAATGAAAGAACATTTTCTGAGCTGTACCATACTGGAATCTTTGAGACGATCGGTCAAGAATAAGCAAGATACGCTCAAATGCGTACACAATTTATGACATCATATAAATAAAATGAAATAAATTGTTTTCAACACACAAAATATAGTAAATCAAGTTGAAACATACAATATAAAATTTGAAAAAGAAAGAAAAACAATTCATTTTGATCATGATGACGTCATAAAAATTAAAAACATTTTTAAATTCACAGATTGTTATGCTAAAGTTAATAATTAAAAAAAAATGAGTATTGTCCAAGAAAGGCTAATCAAAATCAATATATTTTCAAGTGAAATAAAACAATGGTTTCACTAACTAGGTGAAATATTTATGTAGGCCTATTTAAAATAATTTTTGTTTTCTGAATGAACTTGAAATTCTTGGTTTTGATGTACATTCTTCATGAAGTTAAAAATTATAAATAATAATATATTGTAGGCCTTTTACATTATAAATAATGAACTTGCAAGTATTTTTTTTAAATATTACAGGATATACAGTAGCCTTAGTACTAAGTACATCTTTATTATGAATTCTTATTGTTACAATTTAAGTCAAAAATGATGGTTTTTAAATGACAATAAACCCCCATAAATTTCGAACCTTTCTATATATCAACAACATATCAAGGAGTTGTTATAGTGACAATAATGCAAAGTATACTAACTTTCCACTTTCCATAACAAAAAAATAGAAATAGAAAAGCCCCGGTGAAATATAGCATTTAAATATAAATCCCAAAACTGAGCAGAGATTTGTGTGTAACCAGCAACTACTACTATTGTAACTCCCAAATAACTTGATATTACCACGGGGGCAAAGTGGGTCAGTCTGTCAAGATTGAGTGGAGTGGGAATAAAGTGATGGATAGCTATTTAGGAAAATCTTAATCCAAAGTTGAAAATTAAGCATGTCACTGTCAGTACAGAAAATCCTTACAAAGTTTTTGGTATGTAATATCTAATGATTTACTTAACAAAATATTTTCGTGTGATGTTAGACCGGCAATTTTAACCGCCCACCAAGCGGTTTTACTTAAGCTATCTTTTTGAAAAGAAAAGCGTGTACCAGGTCTTTGGAAATTTAATTCCACGCATATATTAGACCTGGATTATGTTAAAAAATATTACAAATATAATTTTAAAAAAAATAAAAAGAATGTATATTTTGATCAACTCTTTAGATGGGATTTAATGTAAAATCAAAGAATTTTCAATTATTTATGGCAAAAAAAAAAACTGCTTATAATAAAGAAATGCTTAAAAAAGAAAAAACATAAGAAAATCAAATAAAAATTTTCAATGACAAACTTATTTTTTGTCATATTGAAAATATGGAAAAGGAATTAGAAATAAAAAATACAGAACTCGAAAAATATTACAAACATAAAGCAAAGGGCCCAGATACGTGCAAAAAATAAATGGATTAAACAAAATGAGAAAAACACCAAATATTTCCTTGGACTTGAAAAATCGAGGAAAAAAAGCAAATAACTAAAATAAAGGATTCTGATGGTGTCGAATTACGCAAACCATTAGATATTCTAACTGAACAAGTCAAATTCTTTTCAAACCTTTATAACATTGACGAGCTCACGAACCTCAAAATCGACGAATATCTTAAAAAAGTGGAGCATTTAAACATAGTAAAGACGAAAAAAATGTCTGCGAAGGAGATATTACAATTGAAAAATGTCAAAAGGCACTAAAATGTATGTAGTTTGGAAAAACATCCGGAAAGGACGGCCTTACTTTAGAATGTTATCGTTATTTTTGGAACAATATTAGCGAGATACAATGCGAAGCAATTAATTATGCACACACAAACCAAACATGATGTCACACTCTCAAAGAGTAGGAGTTATTAATATGATACAGAGAAAAGGAGATAGACATGATCTAAATAATTACAGGCCCGTAATTTTATTAAACTTAGATTATAAGATCGTAGCCTTTGCGCTAGCTAACAGAGTTCAAGACTTCATTAATTAAATTGTAGATACAGATCAAAAGGGATACATTAAAGGTCGATTTGGAGGAGAAAAAATCCGACTTATCGATGAAATATTGGAATACACAAAAACAACAATTGCCGATGGTGCTCTCATTTCTTTAGATTTTAAAAATGTTTTCTTGATTCTTTAAATGTTGGGTGCAAACACTATATACAAATACCGAATTCTGTGTGACAAACAATGGTAGGATGTTCTAATCATTCGTTATGCAGCGTGTAATCAGACAAGGTTGTCCCCTGTCTGCACCTCTGTTCAATATTGTTGTCGAAATAATGGCCACAAAAATTCGTAATGACGAAAATATTAACGGAATCAAATTGCCTTTAAAAAATCAAAATAACAAACGTTAAGTGAAAAAAGCACAATTATTTGTTAATACAATAAACAGCATAGATTGCAGCTTTAAAATGGTTGAGCAATTTTGTAAAATTGCAAAACTAAAATAAACATTGGGTTGATGTGCCCCTTAAATTCCTTGGGGTATATATTGGCTATGATAAAAAACATTGTATTGAGAAAAACTGGGACGAGAAAGTACTAGAGTTTGAAAAAGAACTTGAACAATGGGGAAAGAGAAATTTAAGTGTGTATGGTAAATGAAGATACAAAATGATAGGTGGAAGTTGAGCAGCAAATACCGTTGTACTATCTACAACAACGGGTACAACAGATGTTTACTGAAATGCAACCAACCTTGATTATATAAAACAATTCTATATATACTCTAATACCCAGATTTTATATTAGTATCTTGCGTTCATTGTGTAAATTTAATAATTCCTCGACTGAAAACATTACGGTAATAATTATAAAAAATGTGTGTATCCAATTTATCTGGATGAATAAAAATATAGTTTTAAAAACAAATCATTACTCTCTAGACCATGGGTTAAATCGGGTTTTATTAAAATCAAAGACATTGTGAAGAGTAACAGATTAGTTAAAGCAAATGAAGTAATTGAAAAATTACAAATAAAAGCACAATTTGATTTCGCATTGGAAAAGAATATTGTTTTGGACTTAAAAACGATACACGTATACGAAACTTGAGTCTCTGGATTTGTACATTGACCGTTTATTCATAGACCTCTGGTAAAAGCCTAAAATAGAACATAACATAACATCTTTGAACAAATCGTTATGAAATAGAGGTTCAAGCGTAAGTAAGGTTAGACTAGGTTTGATTAACATGTCGTGACGGCAACAGAACTGGGCGTTATTATTAGCACTACAGTACTGGTATGATTTCACCCTAGTTTTAATGGCCTAGATGCAAGTAACATTTTATATATATTGAAGTATAAATACATTTGAAAAAAAAAACTAAACTTACACGGTTACCCAAACTCAATCAAATGTTCAAAAGTCCAAAATGAACAAACAGAAATACAAACCATTTTGTATCAACTTAGTTAGGCCTATCTCGAATGTTCTCTCCCTGTTGCTTCCACCTTTTCCCTTTTTCTGGGGGGACTATCCTATATATGGAGTGCCAAAGTCCAATTCAAATATTATCAGCGTTACCATTGGAATGGAAACGCTTAATTCGTGATTCCAACTTGGCTGAAAGAACGTGCAACATAGTAATAAATTCAAATTAGCGCTATTGTATGACTAGTAAACAAATATATAATTGTATTGTTGCTAGTTATTCCGAAGAACCTTGTCGAAAACATTCGAAATGGGAAATTATTAACAACCAAAACATTGTATGAAAGACAGTCTAGTTAAGAAATGTCAAGTTTATTTTAGGAAAAAAGCTTGCACATTTTAATTTTAGATTTCTGCATTGTATAATATCGACAAGGTCTCGACTTTCAAATGGAGCTAATGATCGTTGTCTATTTTGTAATGTTAAAGAAGACAAATATCATTTATTATGGGCGTGCAAAAAACGCCAGATACGTATGGAAAAACAATAAACGAAATCATTTAACCAGAGTTTGGTTACAAGGCCAATTTTTATTATATAATCTTAGGTACAGAAAACCACATTATATACTATTGCATGTTCTTATTTATACAAGGCCGCTGTCCTTAAAGCAGCGGGAAAATTAAAAGCCATAAACACTTTACTTTCATCTGAAATGTATGTAAGGCCCACATTATTCAGAAGACTGCTATTAGGTTCATAAAATAATAATATGTTGTCTGTTACCATTATTAATGTTATTGTCGTTATTACAGTATTGTCAGTTTAAGTGACAGTCGTGAGTAACGAATTATTCAATACGTTATTGGATGATACGACAACAATATAACAACCTTTGAATTTGGAGAATCGCCTCAAATTCATTTGCGAATAATAAGTAAAAAATATTTTTAAAAATAATAAAATTTATTAAAATCCATATATTTTAAACCGGATTCACAAAATTGTTGGTATTCTAATTTACTATCTGCAATGAGGTTTCTTCGAAGATCTAATGAATGAACACATGGTGTGAATGATTTGAATTAGAAGAAAAATGTCTTCACTTCATTATAAAAAATTAATAAAAATAGAAATAACAAAATTAAAAATAAA